CCCCAGCCAGCCATGCTGGCTAGGGAGTTCTGGGAGTTGAAGTCCACACATCTTAAAGTTGCTAAGGTTGAGAAACACTGCTTTATGGTGGCTGCAAAGCACGCTCACCTTCAGTGCTGGCTTTTCTTCCTGGAGTGCAAAAAGTAGGAATTGGCAGATACTACAAGTTTCTGTAGCACAAAAGGGTGTGATGTTTAGGCAATGACAGGGTCTGGAGAGATGTACCCAGAACTGCTTGGCCAGATTAGATCAGGGTCTGACTAATTTGGCATTGTGTATTCAGTAGTCTGGAGTTGGATATTTCTGGTCACTGTTGGAGCACCAAGACTTATCCTGCTAAGCGTTACATGCCCAAGTCTCTAATGTTCTACGGACAGAGGTTCTCTCTAGCTCGGGAAGGGCCATGTGTACCTCCAGATGGTGGTATATTCCAAAGCCTAACAGCCCAGGATGCCACACTGGTTGTGGGAAATGATAGATATTGTAGTTCAAAAGCTTGGGAGGGGACCAAGTTGCCACTCTCTCCTTCAGCTATTCGGACTACTGCTATTCCATCATCTTCCAAAAACGAATTCCCCTTCCTTACCTAAGTGCCTTTGCACAGAAATGAAATGCGGCGTATTTTGGTTACCTATTCCATAAAGTGTGTAATTCTTACAAAAGCTTGACTGCCTCTCTCTTTTTCCATGCTGCTCTGTTTTGACCATGGCAGCATCTTCTACTATCTCCTCCTTAATGGGTGATTTAATGGAGGGTCCCATTTTACTAATAACTATGAGAACAGAGTTTAATGAATGCAGATGTTTTGATCAGGATCCATCAAATCAAATCATTCCTACTGCTTGTATTCTCCAATAAAATCCCTTTATTTAATCTCTTTTTTTCTCTCTCTCCCTCCCCACTTGGTTCTATCTCTAGGTCTTCCCTCTCAAACACTACCAGGACAAAATCAGGCCTTACATCCAGTTACCGTCACACAGAAACATCACTGGGATAGTGGAGGTCATCCTTGGAGAGACGAAGGCATATGTCTTTTTTGACAAGGACTTTGGTGACATGCATTCCTACGTTAGGAGCTGCAAGCGTCTGCCGGAACAGGAAGCTGCTAGACTCTTCAAACAGATTGTCTCTGCAGTTGCTCACTGCCACCAGTCAGCTATTGTGCTGGGGGACCTCAAACTCAGGAAATTTGTGTTTTCTAATGAAGAAAGGTGAGCGGACAGGCCTATGTGATGGTTGGCTTTCAGATATCTCTGCAAAGAAGATCCTCAGGCCCATGTTCCCACTTGCCACTTTTAATGCTTATCCATGCCCTTCTGTTTTCTAGTTTTAGTTACAAGGCCAGGTTTGGCCCATGGGCAGCCAGTTGCTTACCCCTGCTATAAATCATATAGCAGGTCTCTGTATCAAATAGACCTCTTTAGAATGGGGGGAAGGGTGGTGATCCAGTTTGGGGAAGCTTTTGGCTTTTATTCTTTCTGTAGGAACTAATATCCAATAATACCTAGTGTACATGTATAACATGCCACAATAATCCTGGTGATAAGCCCTGTGCAATTATACCCTTACATGCTATTGGGAAAGAGCAGGTAGGCAGAGCACATTCAGTTGACAATGCTCATCCCAGGCACAAAATGTGACCTTGGCTTTTCTCATTCAAGCCCAGCCTTTTTGCCATGCTAGTATGTGAGTTGTGTTATATAAACATCCACCTTCTTTCTGGCTGGGATCCAAATTGCTATTGCACTGAAGAATGCATAAGGGTCTAGTACAGTGCTTCTCAACCTATACAACCTTAAGATGTGTGGACTTCAACTCCCAGAATTCCCCAGCCAGCAGTGCTGGCTGGGGAATTCTG